ACTTGAGTAGGGCAGATTTTGTTATCCTTGGGGGTCCTGGAACCAGTACCCTGTGGGTACTGAGGGACGACTGTACCGGCCAAAGTAATTTCTCAATTTGATTTGTCTTCTTCTTACTAGAGTGTGTGGTGGATCCATTCACCTCATTTGACAGGCCACACTTTAATTCATCAAAATGTCTGCTTTCTGGCTTGGAACCTTTGTTTTTCTTCTGGTCCCTGTGACTGGCACTCACCCTTAGCTTTCTTCTTAAAGGTATTTTTCATAAAGAAATAAAGATTTTTTACCACTTCACAAGAGCTATTTTGGGGACTTCCCTGCTGGTGCAGTGGACAGAAATCCGCCTGCCAGTGCAGGGGATGCGGGTTTGATCCCTGGTCCAGGAAGATCCCACATGCTGCGGAGCAACTAAACCTGTGTGCCACAACTACTGAGCCTGAGCTCTAGAGCCCGCGAGCCACAACTACTGAGCCTGGGCGCCACAACTGCTGACGCCCACATACCTAGAGCCCGTGCTCCACAACAAGAGAAACCACCCCAATGAGAAGCCCGCGCACCGCAGTGAAGACCCAACGCAGCCAAAAATAAATAAAATTAAATCTAAAACAAAACAAAACAAAAAATCCTTTTAAAAAAAAAGGTATTTTGTAGCAAGGATGAAGGAGTAGGTATGGACTGTGGGCTGTGAGGCTCGCCCGCTAGTTGGAGTGTTGCTGAGACTTTCCAGACCTGCTGTGGAATGGCACAAATCTGTGCCTTAGGAAATTACAAGTTATTACGTCTTAAGCTTTTCAGGCTGCTAACAGCCAGTCGGTATCGTTAATCTTTAAAAAATATTTTTAAATAATTTCAAACTTATGGAAGAATTTCCAGAACTGCCATATACCCTTCATCCTGATTTCGCAAATGTTAATAAATTTGCCTTCTTTGCTTTATCATTCTCTCCAGATAGATAGATAGATAGACAGATAGACAGACAGACAGGTGGATGGGTTTTTTCCCTCTGAACCATTTGACAGTAAGTTGCAACCATGATGCCCATTTACTCCTAAATAAATGTGTGTTTCTGTGAAAAAGAAGGACATTTTTAAAGCAGCTATAGTTCAATATAGAAATTAATGAAATTAACATTGATATAATACTATTATCTTGTTTGCAGACCTTATTGAAATTTTTCCAATTGTCTTACTAATTAAGGTCCTTTATAGCAAAAGGGGGGGAAATGTTTTTTGTGTGTGTGTGGCCCAGGCTTCAATCAACAACATGTGGTGTATGTATCTTTATTTTCCTGTAATCTGAAATAATCCCTCAATCTTTTTTTTTTTGGGAGGATGGGGGGACTTTCATGACCTTGGTATGTTTGAAGAGTACAGTTATATTTTGTAGAATAGCCCTCCGTTTCGGTGTATCCATTGTTTCCTTGTGATTAGATTCAGGTTATGCGTTTTCAGCAGGCATATCACAGAAGTGATGCTCTCTTCATATACCATGTCAGGAGGAACATGGTGTTGATTTACCCCATTACTGGTATATTAACTTTGATCATTTAGGGAAGGTGGGATCTGCCAAGTTTCTCCACTATAAAATTACCATTTTTCCCTTTGTAATTAAATATTTCGTGGGAAAACACTTTGAGTCTATATAGTAAATATTCTGCTTCTTATCAAACATTCACCCACTGGTTTTAGCATATATTAATGATTCTGCCGGGATCCATTATTACACTATGATTCAGTTATTATTACTATATTTCTAAATGTTGATTTTTTTTAGTTCCATTGCTTCTTCTATATTTATTACTTTCTTCTAAATTTCTTAGTTGCAATTCTACTATAAGAAAGTTTTCCCTTCTTCCCCACTTATGCATTTATTCATGTGTGGACCTGTGGATTCTTATGTTATTCAGTGGGTAATAATTTTGATGATCAGCTTGCACAGGTTTGGCCAGTGAGGGCCTTTTTAAGCTTGCTCCTATGTGCTTTGGACATGTTCCCATCAGCCTTTTTTTCTTACTGGCACAAGAGTTCCAGACCCATCTTGTATATTCCCAGAACTAGCCCTGCAATCAACCATTTCTCCAAGAAACCTAGGTTCTTTTAGTGGAAATTGGCATTTAGAAACCAAATTCTGGGTGCTAGATGTGATCATTACTACTGGGATATTACTGCTTTAGGCCTTTTGTATACACGTTATTTATTATATGTCTATCTATCTGTCTATCTATCTATCTATCTACCTATCCATCTATCTACCTATTATCTATCTATCTCCATACTGATACTTATAATTCCAGTCCCATGCCACAGGATTCCTTCTGTTATCTCTGATATATATACTTCCTCAATCTTAGAATACACAAAAATCTGTAGCCCATACTACTACGAAAAATAAATCTCCCTAGAATTCAATATTTGTTTACAGTTCTTTTTGTCTTTAGCCTAATAGTATATGCTCAAAAACCAGTGTTGAAAATTTACTTGGATTATGTTATTAATTTGAAATACAGTTAGGTTCATTGCTTTAATTTGTATTTCATTTTAGGCTTTTCTTTTTTTCTCTGTCTTTCTTGATTAAGTGTGTGTAACAGACTTCCAATAGTCAGAACTATACAAAAGGCATGCTTAGACAAGTGCCACTCCGCTATACTTCCTTTCAGTTTCTTCCCCACCCATCTTTTCCACCCTATTCCACTCATCCCCTATTGGTAACCAATTTTGTCAGTTTCTAAGTTATTCTTGCTGTGTTTCTTTTTGTACAAATGAGCAGATACATGTATATTTTCTTATTTCTCCCAATCTCTTTCATAAGAATAGCATACCACATATTTTCTTGTGCATTTGTTTTTTCATTTAACACTACATCCTGGAAATCACTCCGTATCAGTTCATAGCGATTTTCATTCCTTTTTAGCTCTGCATAGTCTCCCATGTATAGATTTGCCGTAGTTGATTCAATCATTCTCCTCTGTATGAACATTTAGGTTGTTTTCAGTATTTTTCAATTACAATTATGCAGTTGATAGCTTTGTGCATATATGTTCTTATTTGTTGGAAGTGTATATTTAGGATAAGTTTCTACAGTGGGAATGCTAGGTCAGTAGGTAAACACATAGGTGGTTTTGTTAGGTATTGCCAATTACCCTCCAAGTTTGTACCAATTTGCATTCTTACCACCAATGTAAGAGAGAGCTTGCTTCAACCCAGTCTCACCAATAGAATGTGTTATCTTACTTTTTTTTTTGCCCAATCTCATAGGTTAAAAAATGGTTTCTCACTGTGGTTTTAATTTGCATTTCTGTTATTATGAGTGAGAATGTATGTGTTTTCAAATGTATCTTTTCGTGTGTGTGAATTGTCTGTTCATGTCTTTTGCCTATTTTTCTGTCAAGACTTTGATCTTTTTCTCCCTTCAGTTATTGAGTTCTTTATACGTTCAGACTCAGTTCTTTGTCTGTAATGTATACTGCAAATATGTTCTTCCTCTTTGTCATTTGTCTTTGCTTGTTGTGTTTTGTGTCATGCAAATATGTTTTTTTTAATTTAGCCAACATTATTGATCTTTTATTGGCTCTAGATACTTACAAGCCTTCCCTGCGCTCAGGTTACCAGGAATTCACCCTGTTTTCTTCTAACACTTGTATGGTTTCATATGCTTACATTTTCATCTCTGATTTATTTGGAGTTCTTACGATTGCTGGGAGAAATGTATATAATTTTTATCTTTTTCAAATAGCTATGCAATTGTACTAGCACCTTTCATTTAAAAATTCTAGTCGTTTATGTAAAAAGCCCTTTTCCTAGAGATGCAGCCTTTATCATATGCAAAATTTCCATACCTACTTGGGTCTGTTTCTGGACTTCCTATTCCATTCAGTGGTTTGGCTTTCTATTTATGTACCAGTTCTACACTGTTTTAACTATACAGACTTTATAGTATGTGTTAATATAAAATATGGGAAGGTTTATTTGTAAATGGAGGAATCTCTGTATATTACCTATGAACTAACTTCTTTCCAATATACATAAATTTAATAGATACACTAACATCAGCAGTAAAATAGAAAGCATCAGTAATACATGGAAACTTCAGTAAATGACACATGAACTACCATTGGTTCTATTAGTATGCTTCAGATTCTTTTAAAAATTTATGTTCTCTGTCTATAAGAATCTAAGCTGGTTTGGTTCCACTCCATTTATTCTTAGTATCAGACTTTGCTTATCCAGGGCGATTGCTACGTGGGAGAGGGACCATAAAATCTCATGACTAACACTCATGCCAGAGTCATGAATGTGGGTTGGTTTGATATGGAATGCATTTCTTCTTATCACATAAATGACCCTCACATGATGAGAGGACAACATTTTAAAGTACAAACCTAGTACTGCTTGCTCTGAATAAAATTCTCCGAAGTCAAATGTACTTAGGATTCTTTCCTAACTTTAGTGATTTAGAAGGAGTGTTGTTTAATTGCCAACACTCTTACTTACCCAAAGTCTGCAAAATTTATCTGCTGCTTTGCGCTGGATATGCTGCAAAGTATGTGTACATCAGGTAGTTTGGGCTCACATCTTGCATCTGATTTAAACAGCGGCAGGTGTCAACCAAGACAGATGCAAATGTCACACTGAAATCTTGGGTTATCTACTGCAGCTATACTTTATCACTCTTCAGTAGTTGCTCACCAAATCATTAAAATAAAATGTTCATATTTGAATTTATCTTTGGATTACCTCGGCGTAAGAAATTCTTAGAAATCACTTCAGTATGATATTTTAAAATTGTATCTCCATTCATATTAACAATATAAAACTCTTCAGAAAGCAAAAATAGATCCTAGATGTATTCTGAAATTATACACACACACATACACACATATATTTTACAATCTATTCTTAACCTGTTTATGTGGTATATTTGTTTTGAAAGACAGTAAAATTTAAGGTGCCATTATTGAACTTGGTCATATTAATTTTAGTGATTTCTTATTTAATTTACAGTCGGCAATCAGTGGATAAATTACATATCCTTCTGTGGTCTTAGAACACACGCAGAGCTTGAAGGAAACCTAGTCACTGAGCTTGTCTATGTCCACAGCAAGTTGCTAATTGCTGATGACAACACTGCTATTATTGGTAAGTACTTGGTCTCTAATTGTATTCCTTGTTAGTTGACTTACCTCATGCAACAATCTTTCTTTTTATTCCTCTAAAGCTTCCTTTACAGTTGAAAGGGACAGTCACACAGTTATCTAAAACATTTCCAAAGCAATCTTTTTTGCTTATGTCCTGTCTAATCCCTGCTTTTATCTATGAAGTAACAGAGGCACAGAACAATCGAATGGCCATCGTGTAAATTACAGTGTCCAGAGACAGCAATTTAACCCAGCAGTGCAATAATCAGCCTGCTCTCATTAATTCTTTATTATTTCCTTATTTTTATTTTGAAGCCAAGTACCTAGATTTCTGGGCTTGGAAGGAGGAGATGTGGGGAGGGAAATGTGTCACAAATGAGTACCTCGTGGTAATTTGTACGTGCACGCATCACACCCACCTAAGCATTACCACAGATCTGAAGTTTTGCGAGATTTAGGATCGGAAGGATATTAAAATATTGCTGCCTCTGTGCTTACCATTTTTTCCCCGGAGTCAATGTTTTGGACGTTATTAATCAGAGTGCAGAGCAGACCAGCTTTGTTGGGGGTGGGAGTGAGGTGGACATTGTGTAGTAATGATATGATGTAGTCCTAGACTAAGGTCTGCAGTCTGTTCCTGCAGTCCTCGCCCCACTGACAGATTCAGGAGAGTTACTGGTGTACATTCTACCCAGATTAGATCTTGACCAGAGGGGTGGGTTTGCAGCTTCATTCTTGTATACACCTGAAAAGCTTCATTTTCCCATCATTGAATTGGCTTGCCTTCTAATATCATGTTACACAAACACTGAAAGGCCAGGAGGAGAAATAGAGTATAAATAACCAGCCAGATAAATGAATTGACAAGGGTGGGGGGATGTTACTTAGAGATATGCTGTGTCCCACTATTGGGAATTCCACTCATCCATTTTAAATAAAATGTAGTTTCTCAGCTATAATAAGATACTTAACTATTCTTTAAGAAATTAAGTGTCATGGGGTGCTTCGAAAAATTTTGGCAGTAAATATGCCTTTTCCAGGTCTATCCTCCACTGAGAAAAGAAAAAAAAAATTCATACCTAGGAGTAATGAGACTGTCTTGTCTGGAAGATGATTTGAAAAGAAAAAGTAGTTCAGAAGCCAGAAAATAAATAGACCACAGTGTGGTGATACATCTATATATATATATGTGTACACACACAGACATTCTTTTTTTTTTTTTTTTTGCGGTACGCGGGCCCCTCACTGTTGTGGCCTCTCCCGTTGCGGAGCACAGGCTCCGGACGCGCAGGCTCAGCGGCCATGGCTCACGGGCCCAGCCGCTCCGCGGCATGTGGGATCTTCCCGGACCGGGGCACGAACCCGTGTGCCCTGCATCGGCAGGCGGACTTTAAACCACCGCGCCGCCAGGGAAACCCCAGACATTCTTTTAATACTTATCGGGCATTTAAGAAAAATATCTTGTGTCTTCAAGTTCTTGCTCAGTAGGGATCAAAGCTCTTTAAGGATTTATTTCCTCCCTTACTTCCCCCAATATACAAGTTTTCTCTTATTTCCCGCAAGCTATTCTGGTCTTGCTTTTCAGAAGCCAATCTCAGAATATTTTTATATTGAATTTGGCAATGACAGTAAGGAAAGGAAAAATATTGATTTTGCTGAAATGAAAAAACAAACAAAGCCAGATAAAATTCAGTTGATCTCTTCAGCAAGATTTCAGAACTCTTGAAGTAAAAATTGACAGATGTAAATATTTTCCTTTTAAAGGTCATTTTGACCTTCAGCCTGCTTTACTTTACATCAAGTATAAATGCAAAGTAGTTTTCAGTATCTGAGCTAACAGTTAAACAGATTTGTAGAGTTTTTTAGTTGACTTATTTTCTTGAAAGGTCTCTGACCCCTCAAAGGCTACAGTTTATTTAGGCTAGCAATAACTGATCCATTTTGCACGTCATTCTTACCGACTTTCTTGAAACTGAATGTGGCCTTGGGAGTATGACGAGGTCTCACTTGTTAGTCTTCAGAGGCTGCATTTCTTTTTCTCCTTCCCCAAGGGCAGAACACATTTCCCCCGTGGAAAATCCACAGGTACTTTTGTTCTTTTTATCTCAGTGGAAACTCTAGGAGAAGCAGGCTTGTTATTGCTGCTCTCAGATATCTGGCCTGTTTTCATAACACAGACAGAGAACAATGTTTAAAATTCTCAAAGAGGAACTTGAGAAGTTAGGTTGACAGTATTTTACAGGTGTTAAGCAAGTAGTTGAGAGCTTAAAAGGAATTAAAGTAACCTGTGATTAAATTTTCTAACATGGCAGACTTATGCCAGAATTATTGAATAGTTGACGTAAGAAAAATGACTAATGGTTTATCCTCATTTTTTTTCCTCACAAGGAAATACTTGGTTTCTCACATTGGGATCTCTTTTGTGTGTACCTTTAATTATCTCTTACCCCCGGTGGCCCTGTTGGTCCCAAAATCTGTGACCAAGTCCAATTTTCTAATTCATCTTACTGGCACTTAACAGAACTAACATTTATTTGCTTTCCTAAACAAAACAAGGCTATCCTTAAATAGAATTTAAGTCTATCCCGTTGACTAAGTGAAATGATTTTTTTTAGTATTCACTAATCCATTGCACAACACAATAGGGAGACACAAAACATGATCACACAGTGCCACTGCCCTACACAGCTCATGGGCTACAGGGGAGGCAGGTATTCTTTCCACGAAACACCAGAAACATCGGGATGGATATTGATGAACTGGTGCGAGAAGGTCCAGAGACTGTCAGCGAAGGTGGGTATGTGGGAAACTATGGAGAGAGAATGGATATCAGTGCTTAAGGGGCAGGCTCGAGAGCAGCTGTTGAGAGTCTGTAGTTGAAAGGCCACCACGGTAAAGAGCGAGTCCCGTGGGTCTCAACCCTGGCTGCCTTAGGTTTGCCTGGTGGCTTTTTTTTGGTGGACTATCCTTTTTTAATTAAGCTATTATATATAGTAAATTGCATAAGTGTACAGCCTAATGAATATTCACATATGTTTACATTCATGTAACCACCACCCAGAACAAGATACAGAATATTTCCATCACTCTGACAGGTGTCTTCCTGTCTCCACTCAGTCAATCAGCCCCTAAAATGTTTTCACTGTCACCACAGAACAATTTTGAACACAGATGAGTTTCAGTTCAGATAAATGAAACTATCATTTAGGGGGAAGATTATTCATGTCTGCAATTTACTTTCAAATAGATTCCCCCCCCCCCCGAAGAGGGATTAATTGATAGATGAAGGGATGGAGTGGTATTAGGGGAAAATATTAATGCCTGGTTCCTACTTCCAGAAATTCTGACTCATTGGTCTGGTTTGAGACCCAGGCATCAAGGTTCTTTTGCTTTTTGTTTTTGTTTTGGCACCAATATCTTTTGAAAGCTTCCTAGGTGATGCCGCTGTGTAATCAAGCTGAGAACTCCCAAACTGGAGGCACAGGGAACACAAGCGGGTAGAAAGTACTGAGTAGCCCATTGACGCTCAATTGAAGAATCAGTTTTCCTTTAAAACAAGTCAGCTAGAACAGGGTAGAGTTTGTGTGTTAGTTGTCTATTACTGCTGTAACAAATGACCACAAACTTACTGGTTTAAATCAGCACAAATGTATTATCTAACCATTCTATAGGTTAGAAGCTCAACATGGGTCTCACTGGGCTAAAATCAGGGTATCAGCAGGGCTGTGTTCCCTTCTGGAGGCTCTAAAGATGAATCCATTTCCCTGCCTTTTCCAGCTTCTCCGGGCTGCTCACATTCCTTGGTTCATGCCTCCCTTCTTCCATCTTTGAAGGCAGCAATGTTAGATGTCTCTGAAAGTTCTCAAAGTGTTAACCCATTCTTCTGTAACCGCATCTCTCTCTGAATTCCCTTTACTTTTAAAGACTCTTGTGATTATCCTGGGCCCACCTGAATAATCCGGGATAATCTCCTTATGTTTAAGGCTAGCTGATTAGCACCCTTAATTCCACCTCCACCTGCAGCCTTAATTCCCCTTTGCCATGTAATATAACATATTCACAGGCTTTGGGAATTAGGACATAGTCATCTTTGGGAGCCGTTTTTCTGCCTACCACAGAAGAATTCACAATTTCTGAAACAGGACATTTTAAAAAAGCAAAACCACAAAGGAAATGACAGATAAATCCAACTGCATTAAAATTCAGAACTTTATTCATTAAAAGATGCCATAAATAGAACAAAAAGATAAACCACAAACTGAAAAAGGTATTTGCAATACAGTTAATATTCAAAACATATAAAGAACTCCTTAAATCAATAAGGAAAGACAGTATCTGAAGAAAGATGGGCAAAGGAACTGTATAGGAACGTCCCCAAAGAGGACATACCTGAAGCCCATAAGTATATGAAACATGTTCATCCTCATTAATATAATAATGAGACAAAGAACAGGTTTTCAAAATACCAATTGGCAAAAATTAAAAATTGGACAATCCATGGGCTTCCCTGGTGGCACAGTGGTTGAGAGTCCACCTGCTGATGCAGGGGACAGGGGTTCGTGCCCCGGTCCGGGAGGATCCCACATGCTGCGGAGCGGCTGGGCCCGTGAGCCATGGCCGCTGAGCCTGCGCGTCCGGAGCCTGTGCTCCGCAGCAGGAGAGGCCACAGCAGTGAGAGGCCCACGTACCGCAAAAAAAAAAAAAAAAAAATTGGACAATCCAAGTATTGACGACACTGAGGAACACCAGAGACTCCACTCTTGCATACAGAGCCCAGGTAAACTCCCACATGTGTACACCGGGAAACATACACAACTATGCAGAACATAATTGTGTATTATAGCAAAACTCTGGAAACGACCCAAACATCCATCAACAGTAGAATGAAAAAATAAGTTTGGGTGGGACACAGTTTTTCAAGGCAGGATCCCACTGTGTTCCCCTTTGCCTGACAAAGCAGGAAAGCTATCCTTTTCTACTTCGCCCAAAACTCTGTCTCTTCGATTCAGTTTGGCACAGGTGTACAGAGAGGCTGAGCTTTTGGCATCGGGAATCCTGCAGGTAAAGACAGTCCAGTCTTGAGGGCCATAGCTAGTGAGGGGCAGGGGTCGTTAAAGAAATACTGACTCCCATCTTGTTCTGTGCTTTACCCAACCTGAAAAGAAAAAAATCATCCCTCTGATAAATGCTTATTGAGGGCCTACTCTGGTCTGGGATGCAGGAGGTGGGGGGCTGGGGGATCAGGCAGGTCAACGAATGATCCATTCTTATGACAAAAAGATGCAGTCGGGGGCGGGGCTGGAGGAACTGTGGCACATGAGAGGCAAGCCCCATCTAAAGGCATCCACTAATAAAAAACGTGTTAAACACGTCCCCTCTGTGTTTTAAACCCCAAGAGTGAATGACTTCTCCCTTTGGGGAGTTTACCATCTAGTGGGGAAAATCGGGTAAGCTACAGACAAATGAGGCGCTATGAGAATATACTGTTTCTCTCTCTCTCTATGTGCATATGTATATATACATAGAGAGAGAGAGAGAAGGAGAGGGAGCGGGGAGGGAGAAATGGGGTGGAGGGAGGGAGAGGGAGACAGGGAGAGAGGAGAGGTGGGAAGTGATGTCTAAACTGAGACCTGAAAGGTGAGTAAGGCTGAAATAGGCACTGGGTGGTGAAGGTAACTGAGATTCCAAGATTGCAAGCAGCCCATGTAAAAAGGGGATTTTTAGCCTCTGCCAGACTGCTTATCTTGCATTCCACACCTCATAGGGTACTTTGTTCTTGTCCTCTTTTCTTTATCATTGTGTTAGGTTAGGTGACAAAGAGGGGGGGAGGGGGTGGGGGGGGGTGATGCTTCCACCTGGGTTCCCACCTGTGCTATTTAGGCTGCCCAGGAGTGAGGAAAAAATAAAAATAAAATAAAATGTTTGGGGGTGTTCATTCAAGGAAAATAATGCATTACAATTATGCATAGGTAAATCCCAAAGACATGATTTTGAATGAAAGAAGCAAATCTCCAAAGTTTATCTTCTATATGATTCCACTTATACAAGTTAAAAATAAGCCAAAAGTAAACTTTTTTTGTTTAGGAAAACATCATCAGAGCATGATGAACACAAAATTCTATACAGATTCTCTCTTAGGAAGGGAAGGTCTTTAATGGGAAGACAGCTGAGGGCTTCTGGGATGTGGTAATGTTCTGTTTTTCAGCTTGGGTGATAAGTTCAGTGATTTTCTAAAATTATTACCTAAGTTGGACTTATGTTTTCATATACTGTTTTCTATTTTGCTATATTACATACTGTTTAAAAAGTTCCTAAGAGCAAACTTAGAAAAGGTCATTTTCCAAAAATTATCAAGGCATTGTCCTAATAAACCAAGGGATTGCAGTTACCATAAAACATAGTACATGAAAATAGAGCATATTTCTTGTAAACAATTAAAACTCTAAGGACTCATAGAGAGTAAAAGGTCAAAGTTCCCCTTATTGTCTCCCTGTCTTTGCCAGAAGGTACTCACCACTCTTACCCTTCAGTGTGCATCTTTCTAGAGGTCACTTGCCCTCTCTTCTTCCTAGTATGTTCTATAGAAATGGGTTAATACTATACCTGCTGTTCTGAATTTGATTTTCAGAATATGGGAATGTTTAACAACAAGAAGGGAGGGTAACATTTACATCCATCAATATCTCATTTTTGGTATCTCATTATTAAATTCACCTGAAATTTTCTCTTCCCTTTCTTCACATTCCTATTAAGTAGTAGCCAACTCACTTATCCAGTGTGGTTGAGAGTCAGCGCTCTGGGAAACTCCAGATGGGCCCTGGAAGTACGAGAACCACACCCTCTAAGAATTCCAGCTCAGAAGGCCAGGAATGCATTCCTCCCCTGGTGATGGGAAGGAGTCTGAGAGGACTGGTGTGAAAGTGTGTGTGTGTGAAAGTGTGTGTGTGTGTGTGTATGTGTGTGTGTGTGGCTTTCCAGGGGGCTCACATCCCCAGTCTCCCTGACGGTGAAGAGCAGCTATGTCCTCCCAATTTGGCAGCCCCAGCCCGAGAGTGGCCTCTGCTGGGGCCCCGTGGTAGTGATGTCCCAAAGCAGCACTATGGAGTCCTTATTTCTTGCCCCTGACAGTTGATTCACCCAGAGAGGAGGCTTCTTTGATACAAACGCTACATGCCAGCAAGTCTTCCCTTCCTATGGTAATGTTCTCTAGTGCAGATATTCTCGCGGTAACAAGTATCTGATAATAATGCCAGTAATAATTAGCATTTGTGGGACAGTTTATAGATCAGTAAGTGCTTTCACATGGTCTTACTTAATTTTTACAACAACCCTACAAGGTCTGTATTATTATCTCGATTTATAAAAGATCAAATTAAAGCTGAGAAAGATTAAATGACTTTGCCCAAATTAATGCTGGGCCCCATGTTAAGCCCAAAGACATGGCTACAAATTTTATAGTGTAATTAAAATGTAAGTGTATGTATAAAGGTTGATTTGTTGCTAACAAAACAAAGTGTTTCAAAGGTGGGGCCCACCTTACAGCGCTCTAATGGTGCTCCCAGCTTTCTGTGAGGTGCTCCATCCTTTCTGTCACCCAGAGTCCCTATGGGACACCGTTCCCATCCACAGTTATCATAGAGTTGTGTATTAACTATGTGACCATATTGTAGCAAATGGCAGTATAGACTCTTCAGCAGGAGCCAGCTTCCTCTCACGTCCAACATCCCACCGTCTGGGCTCTGGGTAGCACTGCTAACACCTTACACCCTGATGGTCCCCATCACAGACAGTAGCCCGAGCTTGTGTTCAACCTAACTCTTCTGCACCCTGTCTGCAGAAGCAGTGGAGTGTGGGACTAGGGCAAGAGGACCAAGAAGAAAAAAGAGTCAGGCCCCTTTTGTAGTTTGTAGGACACCTCAAGGATTCAAAAGTGTGGATCCTGGGGCTTCCCTGGTGGCGCAGTGGTTGAGAGTCCGCCTGCCGATGCAGGGGACACGGGTTCGTACCCCGGTCTGGGAAGATCCCATGCCGCGGAGTGGCTGGGCCCGTGAGCCATGGCCGCTGAGCCTGCGTGTCCGGAGCCTGTGCTCCGCAACGGGAGAGACCACAACAGTGAGAGGCCCGCGTACCGGAAAAAAAAAAAAACCTGTGGATCCACAATGATTAATGCAAAAATGTTGCAAGGTTTTTGAATACACAGCAGAGGAGCTCAGGAAGTGCAGGTTGAACTAATATTCAAATACTTGCCCTTCACATGTGAAAGTCAGCATTCTCAGCTCCTTTGGATTTAAAAATAGAATGGAGGGAAGTTGATACAGAAGCTGTTGGCATGCCACACAAGTGAGGCAAGAGAATGAAAACCCAAAGCCACTAATGATAATCTGTATTTGGGAGTGGACTATATTGCTTGTGAAGGTCCTTTTGTGTTTTGACATTTATAATTATGTGACCATGAGTTAACGTCTACAGAGTGTGATTCTTAAGCATGAAACCTTACTGCACTGAGCTGGTAAGTGTTCTTGTTTCTTTGTGTGCTTAATGACTATATCAGTTAGAATCCTTTGAGCCACAAGATAGAAAATTCAACTAGAAGTATGTGAAACAATAAGGGAAATGTATTACTTCACATAACAGAAAATAAGAAGGTTCTAGGGTTGGCCAGCTCAGTGACTTAAAGACCCAGAGTCTTTCTTCTTTCTGCTCTGCCATGTTCAACTTGTCTGTTTGTCCCTTGGTTACAAAGTGGCTGCAGCAGCTCCCACAATCATGTCCTCATGCAACCCTTCAAGCCAGAGTATCCAAAGACTGTCAGTGACACCATCTTCTTCTTCTGTCTATTTATAAGAAAGAGAAAAACTTTCTCAGAAGCCCCTGGCAGATTTGCCTTATGTTGCATTGACTAGAATCATGACAAGGGCCCATTTCTAAGCCAATCACTGGCAAAAACAGTGAAATGACCATGACTGGCCTTAGACTGATCAAGATTTACCCTTGGGTTAGGGAGCGCCCTGCCTTCCTAGAGCACAGCGTCTCTTGATACCTGAACAAAATTAGGGGTTTTTTTAGCAAGGAAGAATTGAGTCTGGAGGGCAAATGAGTGTCTGCCGGAATAAGAAAATTGTTCAGTTTCACTGTTTCTCTTTATAGGCTCTGCCAACATAAACGACCGAAGCATGCTGGGAAAACGGGACAGTGAAATGGCTGTCATTGTGCAGGACACGGAGACGGTCCCTTCAGTAATGGATGGAAAAGAGTACCAAGCTGGTCACTTCGCCCTAGGACTTCGGCTGCAGTGCTTTCGGTGGGTCTCGGAAGCTGGGTCTCCCTCACATAATCCCGCTGCAGTGGGCAATGGAACCCAGCCCAGCCTCTGGCCCTTAGCACACATGCCATCTCCAGGTTCTTCTTTGTCCAAAACAGCGTGAACCACACCAGTCGTATACAAAATGGCTCTGTGTGGGGCATAAAAATTTCCTGTTTGAACAGCTTTTATTATTTTTATGTGTAATGGAGAAAACTAGCATTTTAAATCTATTAATTGATTTAGGACCAGGTCAAACCATCTAGTGTCTATTTAAGTTTTTTATAGTGAGTCCATTTTTAGAAATTGAAATAGTTCCAGCGATGTAAGGGTATGATAAAAATTACTAAAGGAGAAAGCTAGTGACTACTGGTGTTAAATTAAATGTGGAAACTTCATTTCTCAGATTTAAGATGACTCCAGACATGGAAGCTTCCTGATCTTCTGCAAGAAGATGTGAATTTTAAACAAACCTGTGGTCCAACAGAGAGAGCACTGGGCTAAGTAGCAGGGGATGTGTATCCCTAAATAAGTGCTTCATTCAGTTAAGTGTCACTGAGAACTTTCCTGGGCGGGGCTCTAACTGGCCCCATGCCAGCCCCTGTAGTCCAGTCTCAGTTGTCAGAGTGATCCTTCGAGAACCTAACTCAGGTCCTATCACTCCGCTATTCAACCAATCCTCAATGCCTTCTTATCTCTCTTTTTTTTTTTCTTTTTCAAATAGCTTCTTATCTATCTCCTGACCCTCTCCCCCAGCCCACTGAAGACACACTAAGCTCCCCACTGTCTGTGGAACACACCCTGACCACTCTCCCACCTGTAGGCTTTTGCAGGAAGTCCACAATTATAAGATTCTAGAACTATATTGGCCAGGATGGGATTTCAGTGTGGCCGCTATGGTGAGATAGAGCCAAGTGTCCCCGATTAAGGGTGGTATTTTAAGCTATTTGATGAAAGGCACTGCACAGATACTGTTGTGGTGCTGTTGTTTTAACCCTTCCAGTGTTAATGGTCGCTTCTGAAAACTGGCTCACTTGCAAATGGGCACAAAACCAGCACTTCCCTCCTGCAAATGCTGGCGGCCCTTACCTCCTACCTCACTCCAGACTCTGGCTTTTGAGGACCAAGCTTCAGTTCCAGAGACGTTCCTTAGGCTCCCTCTGCCCCAGGAGCTCAGCAAATCCATCCCTCAAAATTTGACTGTCAGACCTTCTCACAGTTTTTATTGCTGTATTTGTCGCCTTTGTTACTAATTGTTTTGTCAGTAAGGTTTTTGTTTTTGTTTTTTTTTAGACCATTGATATTTTAATTGACTTCTAATGTTAATTTGTTTTGTTTAGCAGGGGAGAGTTTAAGATTAGCAACCCACTATTAATCAACCCATTGATTGCCTACTGCAGCTCATATAAGGAAACAAATATTTCCTCCTGTAAGCTAGAAATAAATGTCACACCTTTTCAGTTCCATGAGAACTTAAGTATTCTCTTTAAAGGCGTAGCCTCCTTTATAACTTTCTAAATGTATAATAATTATAGAGGGAGAGGGTTCTGATTACAACATATTTTTCATTGTAGAAAATTTGGCAAACAGAAAAGCAATAAGGAAATTAAATTGATCTGTAATCCCATCACCCAGTGCTAGCAATTTTAACATTTGATGTATATCATTCCACTTTTTATCTATATATAAATATTCACTACTGTATTTCTTTTTTTAAACATAATTAGGATCTTGCAGTTCTACAAAGTCCTTTATTACTTAAATAATGTTACACACACTTTTCCATGTCATTGCGTTCTTCTATAACATTTAATGGCTGCATTGTATTACATTGTTTGAGCCCGCCATAATTCCTTTAACCAAAACCTCATTGATGGGCAGATTTTTCGCTGATATAAAAAAGTGGGTATGGTTGTAGATAGTATCTTGCTTACCTTCTTAGTTGTTTCCTTAACTAAATCCTAACTATAGGATTTCTAACCAAAGGAAGTGTGCAATTTCCTTTGCCCTCTGAGTTCTATTATTATCTTTGCCGATTTGTTGGGTTTCAAATGGAATTTCATTATCTTAATTTGAAATTTGAGGGTTTAAAAATGTATCCATTAGCCATTTGTAATTGTTCTTTTGCAAACTGTCTAGACTATTCACGTCCTTTGCCCACTTTGTTGCAATGTTTCACTTTCTTTTAATGATTTATCAGTAATTTAAGTACATAAGAGCCTAATTTCTTTCTCCCATTTGTTGCAAAGCTGATTTGCCAATTGCCTTTTAATCATATTTAGAGTATTTGGGGGAACCATCAATTCGTTTTTGTTTTTTTTTTGCGGTACGCAGGCCTCTCACTGTCGTGGCCTCTCCCGTTGTGGAGTACAGGCTCTGGACGCGCAGGCTCAGCGGCCATGGCTCACGGGCCCAGCCGCTCCGCGGCATGTGGGATCTTCCCGGACCGGGGCACAAACCCGTGTCCCCTGCATCGGCAGGCGGACTCTCAACCACTGCGCCACCAGGGAAGCCCGAACGATCAGTTCTTATTAATCAAATCTATCAGTTTTTTTCTTTTCCCCCCTTTTAAAAAATATGCTTAGAATAGCTTCCCCAAGATAAAATATTTACTTATATTTTCTTCTAGTGCTCATTTGATATTACTTTTACATTTAACATCTGCAATTTATTTTAATTTTTTAATAAATTTATCTATTTATTTATTTATGCTGTGCTGGGTCTTCGTTGCTGTGTGCGGGCTATCTCTAGTTGGGCGAGCGGGGCCACTTTTCGTTGCAGTGCGTGGGCTTCTCATTGCGGTGGCTTCTCTTGTTGCAGAGCATGGGCTCTAGGCATGTGGGCTTCAGTAGTTGTGGCACGTGGGCTTCAGTAGTTGTGGCTTGCGGGCTCTAGAGCACAGGCTCAGTAGTTGTGGCTCACGGGCTCCATGGTATGTGGGATCTTCTCGGACCAGGGCTCGAACCCATGTGCCCTACATTGGCAGGCGGATTCTTAACCACTGCGCCACCAGGGAAGCCAACACCTGCAATTTATTTTAATGTAAGAAATGAGGTAGGGACTCTAACTCTTTTTCCCAGGCAAACCAACTGATCCAGAACTGCATGACTGCAGTACTCATTGCCTCTCTAACCTGCAGTGCCTCTTGATGGTGCACCGAATTGCCACATATCCTGACCTGTCTGTACTCTCTACTACTTCCTATTGAAAGTCTGTTGCCTTGCATGCCATTATGATACCAGTTTAATTATTGTAGGTGTGCACTTTAATACTACTTCCTACCATACCACTTCCCCAAATTAGTATTCTTTTCCGGAATAATCTTGGCTACTCTTATTCATTCTTCCACACGAACTTTAAAATTGTTTTTTCAAGTTCTCTCACTAGTTTTTTGATCAGGACTACAGTATATTTATAGATTAATATAAAAAAGAGTTGATGTCTTTATAATATTGAGCCATCCTATTGAGGAAAAGGTATGGACTTCAATTGATTCACATTTTTTTGTTCTTCAGTAAAGCTCTAGGGTTTTCATTATTGGAAGCAGAAGTTGTTCTTCAGTGATCATTGAAGTTTTTTGTTGCTGTTCTTTTGGTTTTATGCTGATCCTATGCATTTCATGCTAAGTTTATTCCTAGATGCTTTATTTTTCCTGGCAGCTTTCAAACTGTCTTGAAGAGGCAGTTCTTGAACAAGCATTTTCACTTTGCCACAATGGCAGACACAGATAATAAATTAAAAAGCACCATGAAAACCTTGTGTTGATTTTAGCTCTTTTTATTAGGAAATATTCTCAAAGATAAATGTGACCTAGAGCAGAGCCACTTTCTCCCTTAAAAAAATGCAACTTCAATCCATTTTCCATCTGGGGTATTTTTGAATAGAAATAGAGAGGCACATTTCGATGTGAAATCAATTCTAAATAGAATCAACCATCAGGGTACTGCACTAAATGTCACAACTGCATGCCAAACAGTTCATTAAGTCCTAGAAAATTATCCAAATTTTACAGATGTAACCATCACTCAACAGAAACCATTATCCACACAAGTAGAGCTCAGAATCATTTACAGTGATAGACATGAGGAATGGAAAGAACAGAAACAATTTTCTGCAGTTTTCCTACTGTCCCACTGATGCATAAACAATTAAACATTAAATAATTGACATTATTCATGTCAACATAAAATCAAATTTGTTTTCTCTGAAACCTTACTCCTCTAAAGAACATCCAGAGTACTTCATATTATTTTTACTGTATAAATTTTTATAATTAAAAAGCTGACAGGGGGGCTTCCCTGGTGGCGCAGTGGTTGAGAGTCCGCCTGCCGATGCAGGGGACACGGGTTCGTGCCCCGGTCCGGGAAGATCCGACATGCCGCGGAGCGGCTGGGCCCGTGAGCCATGGCCGTTGAGCCTGCGCGTCCAGAGCCTGTGCTCCGCAACGGGAGAGACCACAACAGTGAGAGGTCCGCATACCGCAAAAAAAAAAAAAAAAAAAAAACCTGACAGGGAAAATAATTTATTACTGAACATTGTCTGTTATAGACTTATTTAAATACTTTTTTCTCTACACAGGCTCTTAACTGATAACTTGATAGACACATTGCCTCACCTCCTGTTCTCATTTAAAAGCAAAGTCATAGAAATATTCTTTCGGCTCTGTTTTCAGTTGGTTAGACGCCACCCAAATCAAAGGCATTACTATAATTGACTTATTGTTATAACCTGCACTGTCCTTCAAATTTGGCATGGTTAAATTTTGCTTTGGTTCTTAAGGAGCGGCAGCATCTAGGTGCAAACATCATCCTTTAGAACCTTTTTGAAAGTTATTCCCATATAGTCTGAGGGAGACATTATTTGAAGTGGAAATAGAATTTTGAGGTTATAAAACTCTAGGAATCCTAGTGAGCCCAGATGCCAGATCCATTTATTTTAGAAAATTTTTATATAGTAGAAAAAGTGAAGACTAAAACTAAAATGTGATGCCCTTTTATCCCTATAAGCCTGGCTGAGCCTTTTCAGGAGTTGATAATATTGGAGTTGACTGGCGAGAACACACATGGTTAATACCATGTGTGTTGGAACAGCCTTTCTTGAAGTAGATTTTGCAAATTGTTTTTTTTTTTTTTTTGCGGTATGCGGGCCTCTCACTGCTGCGGCCTCTCCCGTTGCACAGCACAGGCTTCAGACGCGCAGGCTCAGCGGCCATGGCTCACGGGCCCAGCCGCTCCGCGGCATGTGGGATCTTCCCGGACCGGGGCACAAACCCGTGTCCCCTGCATCGGCAGGCGGACCCTCAACCACTGCGCCACCAGGGAAGCCCTTTGCAAATTGTTTGATCCAGGATTTTAATTCTTAAATTTCTCCTAGTGAAATAATCATAGAAATTCACAAAGTGTTATATATGATGAATAAATTATGTTCATTATAGCATTGTTTATAATAATGGAAAACTGGAAACAACCCAAAAGGTCATAATAAAATAGCTGGTTAAATAAAATTTCACATAATGGGAAATTCTGCAACCATTAAAAATGGTGATGTAAATCTACACATTTAAATACAAAGAGGGTAACAATATGATGACCTCCACCCTGTTAAATCCAATGGTCCATTCTCATCTGAATTTGACTCCGTGTGGCTCCAGGATACCCATCCTCTGGCTTCTCTGCAGCCTCACTGGCTGCTCCTTCTCTCCCCTACTGTTGAGGTGCACTGGTCCTCTTCTCTCTCTACACTCACTACTTTGGTAAAGTCAGTTGAAGTCACATGGCTTTATGAGTATACATATGTGGACAGTTCTCAAGTGTGTATCCCCAGCCAGACCTTCTCTCCCAAACTCCAGATTCTTTTATCCAGCTGCCTACTTAGCATCACCACTTGTATATTTACTAGATGTCCCAACAGGTTCAAAACTGAATTCCTGGTCTTCTCCTACTAACTGGCTCTACCCACAGAATTCCCCATCTCAGCTAATGGCAACTACAGTCTTCTGTTTGCTCAAGGCAAAGCCCTTTTAGTCATCCTGATGCCTCACTTTTTCTCACACTCTGTGTCCACTGGATCAGTGAAATCTGATCTCTCCACCTTCCTCTCCACCACCCGAGCCACCGTCATCTCCCACCGAGATCGCTGCAGTGACTCCTGACTGACCTCTCTGTTTCAATCCTTGCCCTGCACGGTCTATTCTCAATCCAGCAGCCGTTTGTTAATATTTAAGTCAGATCCTGTCACTCCTTGCTCCAGTGTCAGCAGTATGTCCCAATTTCATGCAATGTAAAAGCCAAAGTCCTTCTGAGACCCATTTCCCCACTTTTCTTTCTTTCTTTCTTTAAATAAATTTAGTTATTTTTGGCTGCATTGGGTCTTGGCTTCTGCGCGCGGGCTTTCTCTAGTTGCAAAGAGCGGGGGCTACTCTCCGTTGCGGTGCACAGGCTTCTCATTGCAGTGGCTTCTCTTGTTGCGGAGCACGGGCTCTAGGCATGCGGGCTTCAGTAGTTGCGGCACGTGGGCTCAGTAGTTGTGGCTCACGGGCTCTAGAGAGCAGCCTCAGTACTTGTGGCTCACGGGCTTAGTTCCGCGGCATGTAGGATCTTTGCAGACCAGGGATAGAACCCGTGTCCCCTGCATTGGCAGGCGGATTCTTAACCACTGCGCCACCAGGGAAGTCTCCCACTTTTATTTTCAATGTAGCACAAGCCTTTTTGGTATTCCTTGAACCTACCAGGCATGTGAGCAAAGAGCTTTGGATTCAGTTTCAATTCTAGCTCTATTAATAGAATGCCTCCAACCTTTTGTTTCCCATTTGCAAAATGGGAATCCTGTACCATCTACCTCCCAGGATTAAGATGGAAATGCTTTTTAACATTCAGGCTTTATGTAGGTACCAGCGCTTTTATAATTTTCACATATGACCTCTAAAACTTGTCTTGCTTTGCTTGAGAATTTCTTCTTATTTCTAGTCCTCTGTTTATATTTGATCAATTCAAACAATCTACTGTATGGCTTCTTTTATGCCAGGTACTCTGGGGATATGAGAATAGCCAGGTCATGTTCTCTTAAAGAATTTACATGCTAGAAGTGGGAGATGGGCCTATTAAAAGCAAAAAGTGCATGAAGTATTGCAGGTGCTCTGATAAAAACGAAGCATAGATGAAGCACAGTGAGGGCGACAAAGGAAGAAAGTTCAGATCTCTCAGGACTGACGGGGAGAAATGGGAGAAGGGAGAAAGGGAGCCATAAAAACGTTTATAGAGGCAACCTTGTACTGAATCCTGAAAGATGGTAGGTAAGGTTAGGCAAACAGGTAGGGGAGGGAAAAGCCTCCCCGACTACTCCCATCTCACACTCTTAAAGCACACCTGGTATTTACCACATTTTAATTAATTCCTTTTGAGGGTGATTCTTTATTCATTGTTGATCTCACCTACCAAGTGTAACTGCACCCAGAGAGGCTCCGTGTCTTTCATATTCATTTCTGTACCCTAGAGTTCAGCATAGTTCTTGGCCCAAGGGAGGGAAGAAGGAAGGAAGGAAGGAAGGAAGGGAGGGAGGAAGGAAGGGAGGAAGGGAGGAAGGAAGGGAGGACGGGAGGAAGGAAGGAAGGCGTGGGGAGGGAGGAAGGAAAGTCAAGTCTTGGTTAAGAGGACAGGTTTGGGAGTCAGGTGGTCCTGATTGGAGTCCCAGATATACAGTTTGCTAGCTGTATGACCTTGAAAGAGTTATTTGACCTCTCTGTGCCTTAGTTCCCTTTTCTTTTTTTTTTAACATGTTGATCTATTTATTTATTTATTTATTTGGTTGCACTGGGTCTTGTTGCAGCAGGTGGGCTCCTTAGTTGCAGCTCGTGGGCTCCTTAGTTGTGGCATGTGGACTCTTAGTTGCAGCATGCATATGGGATCTAGTTCCCAGACCAGGGATCGAACCCGGGCCCCCTGCCTTGGAAGCTCAGAGTCTTAACCACTGTGCCACCAGGGATGTCCCCTTTGTTCCCTTTTCAATTAAAGGAAAATAATACTACTTGCTTCTTTTGTTTTTACTATTCTTTTACTTTTTTTTTTTTTTTTAATAGCTGCTTCTTCATAAGGCTGTTGAGGATTTACTGAGATCGTTTTTGGAAAGGCTCAGCACGATGAAAGGCACATGCTTTGAATACTAATCCTATCTTCCAAGGTTCTTGCCCTCTTAGGCCAAATTACAAGAACTCTCTTAGAGCAAAATGAAGGTGTTTCTCTGTCTCAAACATCATAACAACTTAGGCTTTTCTGTTTTGTTTTGTTTTGTTTTGCAACTGGGCTTTTTTATATATAGACACACAGACACACACTTAGTCTTAATGGCTTCCTTTGATTTCCTTAAAAAAAAGAGGACTTCTGTGGTTGAGTGTCTGAATTGCTGTACCATTAGAAACAGTGCCTGCAGCAAACTGCTTTGTTTCATTTACTCATTTTGGAGGACACTTGTATTTCAGGGTTGTCCTCGGCTATCTTTCTGGCCCTAGTGAAGACATTCAGGATCCAGTGAGTGACAAATTCTTCAAGGAGGTGTGGGTTTCAACGGCAGCTCGAAATGCTACAATTTATGATAAGGTGAGGTTCACATATCCTGCTCCTTTTTTAATTGAATCATGTCACAAAAGCACATAATTATTTCTGCATATTATTGGCACAGAGTATTCTTAATGAGTGTAAAAAACCAATACACCTCCAAGGTGTAATAAAATACTTCTTGGTAGACGTTAAAAAAACAGAGTCAAAAAGAGCCATGGATTATTGTTTAGAAGAGACTTTAGTGGCATTCTGGTCTCAGATTCCAGAATCTCATCATAAGCATCCTTAGCACGTGGTTACCCAGCCTTTATACATGTCTAGTGACAAAGAGAAAAGAGGCAGATGGGATCAAAAAATGAGTCAGACTTGGGTTCAGCCCAGCTCACACAGTTGCTGGTGATATAACTATGAGTGTAGTAATTTGATGTTCTGAGCCTTCCTTTCTTTCCTCTCCTATAAATTGGGAGGAACATTCACTAGGTGGTCGTGAGGATAAAGAACAGTCTATTAAATGTATTTAGCACATAGTACATATAGTAAATGGTGTCCATCCTAATGATCAAGCTTATTAATAATGAGAAACTTCCTCATTTGGACAGCTCTAATTTTGGAAAGGTGTTTTAAAACCAGCTTCGTTTGTTAGGGAGGCTAAATGCATCTTCTGGTAAGTTCCGTCCATTGATGATGATAAAGAGTGTACAAGAGTTGAGTCACCTGACACTGAAACAGGTTACATCATGAAGTAGCCAGCATTCCATCATAGAAAATATTCAAGCTGAGTTCCACTGACCATCTATTATAAACTGGGTGAGAGTGCATTCTTCTTCTGACTTCCAGAGTCGCCTCAGCACAGAAAATTCATCATTTCTAATGAAACATGACAACTATCTACATAGCCTTATTTCATACTGAGGCCTCAAGGCCATGATCAAATAGGTTGTGTGCATGGAGTCTTTTCAAATGTAATTTTTAAAATGCAGGGCACAGCCTAGTTTGGATCCTGGATTGGGAGGAATAACAGCTATAGAAGACATTTTGGGAATAATCGGGTAAATCTGAAAATGGACCATATCTTAAATAACATAGAATTGATTTTCTGAGGTGTGAGAATTGTACTGTGGTTATATAGGCTCGTGTCCTTATTCTTAAGAAATACATGCTGAAATATTGAGGTGTGAAGTGTTATGATGTGTGAAACTTATTTTCAGTTAGCAATATACATGCACAATTGATAACTTTAAGTACAGGTACAGATAAAAACATTTTTCAAAATTAAAAAGTTAGAGAAAATATAATACACAATTTTCCTTTTAGACCAGAACCTCCAGTGAAATTCAGGGGTGATTATTATCCAAAAAGTAAGGTATCACCCATGAAACTCCTTACCCCTAGCTTGACTTTATCCTGAGGTCAGTCATTTATGTAGATCAGATATAGGATCTGTGTTGATTTTTTTTTTGATGGAAGCAAATCTAGCACTCTCTTTGTAGCAAATAAAAGAAGCAACCCTTCAATCAGGTCTGCGCTGTAACATAAAACTAATTAATATGTGTTTCATAAAACAAAGGTTTTGTCCGTCGGAATGAGTATTTTCAGTAAAGGGGATATCCTTTCTTTTAAACCTGTCACTCAGTTTCCTATTTAATCAGGTGTTCCGGTGCCTTCCCAATGATGAAGTACACAATTTAATTCAGCTGAGAGACTTTATAAGCAAGCCCATCTTAGCAAAGGAAGATCCCATTAGAGCTGAGGAAGAACTGAAAAAGATCCGTGGGTTCTTGGTACAATTTCCCTTTTATTTCCTGTCTGAAGAAAACCTACTGCCTTCTGTTGGAACTAAAGAAGCCATGGTGCCCACCGAGGTTTGGACTTAAGAGTCATACTTGTTTGCAACTCAAAGACTTCCACCCTGAAGAGTACATGTCACACAGTGACTTTCTGGAGACCTAACAGCCATAGCGAGACCCAGTGCACTCTTGTATCCAACACTTGGACCCTTTGGGTTGGCTGGGAAGGGCTGTAGTCATACTGATATAAGGACAGTGAAAATCAGCAGGGCTTTATAATTCCTCCTGCCTGTCCCTGTGAAAAAAGGACTGTATTCGTAGGTAGCATATACCCAACAGCTTAAACACATACTAAAATTCCATGATGTATACCAAACTGCATTTTCTTTGCTAACAAGAATTTACCTGTCACTGTGATCTACTTTGCCAAAAGTTGTCTGAACCTCCTTATTTTTCTCTGACCCTCACTTATGCAATTGATGTCTGCTGGACCTGCCTTCCTCTCATAGTCCATACAGGCTCTGTTTGAGGTATTGTCTATTGTTAGAAGATGTTGTGATGCTGCTTCAAGGTTATTTAAGGTTACATGGGTTGCTCCTGCCCCTGCCCTTCTGGCCCCGGAGTAGTCGTGTGCACCCAACCAAGGATGTGGTCCTTATTCCTTTCCAGTGACTGAAAGGACAGGACAGACCTTAGTCTACACAGCAGCCCATGTTAGGCACTTCTGACAACATTGACAGCATGTATGTTGACACCACAGATCAACAGGAAGGAATTAAATTCGGTTATTAAGGCAGAGATTTCACTTTGCATCCAAAGGCATCGATAAGATGTGTCCTTTTGATAGGGCCCACCCTATCAGATTTGAAAACGTGTAGGATATTTGATTACACAGCAACCGATAAAACTCAAAGACACAGCATGCAGCCTTCAGCAATCTTCAACGTTTTGGTGGGAATCTGATCCAGATAAGAAAAGAAGATTTCTTATAGGCCTGTAAAATTTCCTGTCATCCTTAGCTGCTGGATTGATTGAAATTTGAGTTTCTACATTTCAAAGTCAAACCAGTGAATACAGCTTGTCTTTCAAGAGAATCAGGGGCTTCATAACTCATGCCAAGTTAATGAGTATGAGCCTTATTTGACATTCAGCTCGCCAGCTATGTTACCTTCTTTAAGAAAAACTGTTTGCAAAATGCATACAACTTCACTTGCGTTATTAAATATACATTAACATTCCACCAGGGTTCCAAAGAGGTTAGGATTATTTTTTAATTCACATTATCCTAGTCTGTGAATTGTTCTGGAAACCCATTTCTCCTTTTTGGATGTTAGTGTACATACCCTTTGGTACCCCATAGCTCTAAATTTTTTTTTTTTTTTTTTTTTTTTTTTGCGGTACGCGGGCCTCTCACTGTTGTGGCCTCTCCCGTTGCGGAGCACAGGCTCCGGACACGCAGGCTCAGTGGCCATGGCTCACGGGCCCAGCCGCTCCGCGGCCTGTGGGATCTTCCCGGACCGGGGCACGAACCTGTGTCCCCTGCATCGGCAGGCGGACTCTCAACCACTGTGCCACCAGGGAGGCCCCCACCATAGCTCTAATTTTATTAAGCAGAACTATTCTTACAACCTAAAGAACTAATGTGGGTTCCCAACGGGCCTGAGGCCATAAAACATGGTGTAGGTGCAATGATTACACCTCTATGGATTACCTGGACAGACTCTCATCCAAAGGAGTAAGGACCCAATCCCTATTTTCCTAGAACTGATAGTCCAGTGGAAAAGGTTAAACAGGAGCACAAAGTCTGTGAACTAGGTTGGTAGGAGAGAGACAGTGTCATACCCAGGAGGGTTTTACAAATGAGGTGGAACTATGCAACCAACAATGGAAATGAATATGCTTTTATGGTGGCTGAAGATAGAAAAATGACTTCATTCTATAGCAGTTGTAAATAAGATATTTGCTATTTATGAAGTTTAGATTGGCATTTAAAGTGTTGAGTGTATGTGGAATACCTAAGGAATTTTCATGTTTTCTTTTTAAATTTTTAAAAAATGTAGAACAGTCAACAAACTGGCTCTTGAAAGGGCCCTTTCTCTTAAAAAAAAAAAGTCACTTAATCCAACCTCTGCCCATTTTATAGCTGAGGAAACTGAGACCCAGGTTAATTGAAGGACTCACTGAAGTTTACCCATTAGGACCAGTGACATCGTTGGTCCATTACTGGCCTCTCCTTTCACTCATCACAGCCCCAAAAGGAGGAGATGCAGTAGATTTCAGACAGGATGTCTCTAAGCTATTTTGAACCCTGTGATATTATGTATTTATGTGCTTGTCTGTCTCCCCCTACTAGAATGTAAGCTCCATGGGGCAGGGACTTTCCTGTGTTTTGTTCTTAGTGTATCCCCCAAGCCTGAAACGGTGCCTGGCTCATAGGAGGTGCTCAGTACGTGTTTGTCGGATGAATAAAGGAGGTGGAGGAGACAGCTAATGAAATGAAAAACTTACGGAGTCTCAGACAAGAAATCTTCCTGCTGTTGCTAAAGAAACTGTTAGCAAGTTTCTTTTCTACTGCATCCTCTTAAAGGCAAGATGCTCATCTGCAAAGAGAGGGGCTGCAAGATTTATTTGGGTGGATTTTATGGAAAATACAGTGCCATAATTGCCTGCTTTGCAGTAGCAGTTTACATAGTGCAGCATTCTGCAAAAATTGCATGGGACACAGGATTGCCGTGGACACAGGATATACCATATGGCCTAATTACCCATCATTCTCTGACACCATTACTACCTAATAGAAGTTCAGATAATTTATCTTTAACATCGCAATGTCTGATGTAAACATTAAAATGCAAGAGATGCAGTCTTGAAAAGCTATTTTGAATCTGTTCAGCATTTTAAATTGACTATAATCTTTTGAAATGCCTGTAAGTGCTGTACCTGACACTCTGATAATCTCTGTAATAATTTTTGCTTTCTAGAAGGAAAAATTCTATGATTATAAGAAGTGAAGGGTAGAAAGTGGTCATGGCCTTTTAAAGCTATTCAGATTGGCCAAGCTTAGTGGTTGGAGGATACTAAACACAGCAGGTTGGGTTCAGGCATTTGCTCTGGAGCAAGTGTCCACTCAGGGACTCACCCTTCAGTGGGATGGCCTTCATTCTCAGCTGTCATGCATCACAGAGAGCTGGTCATTAGATAACTGAGTAACATATTGTAAAACAAAACATTGGTTATATTTTAATAGCATGTTTGGAAGAAAATTTTGTCTCTAGGTAGTCAAAACCAGAAGCAGTTAATCTTTTATGTAATAACTTGGGAAATTGTAACATATTGTGAATTAACAGTCTTCCAGATGAAGACAGTAAGCCAGGAAGTCTTTTTGCAGATATAAGACGACAGGCAGAACAGATTTTATATACATCATGGAGATCCTGCACGTCTTTCTGCCCCTCCTCATTCCTTATTCCTTCAGCCTCTTTCCCCAACCAGAGCCCTTCCGTATTATGGAAACCATTTTAGAGGACAAGGAAAAGTTCTGGGAAAAAACAACATTAGGCATCTAAAATAAATCTTCAGTTTAACTCACACTTTTAAGTGATTGACAAAATATTATCATTTTTTAACAGAGGTGGTGGTTCTTTTTAGCATCTCTGATCTGATGTGGCACTTGAGCATTTTCAGATGCCGGTCACCCTCTGGAGAGGGGCTAAAGAGGGCCCTTCATGTCTTCTCATCCCTCTCAATTCTCCCATGTATGAAAAGTGAGCAAACGCTAAAGGATTTTCGGTGTGCTTAGGAATACAATTTTATTTCCTTAGAAGATCCTCTGAAGTCAATTACTACTGGCAACTTGGAGGTTTAAAATGGGTTTTACCAGGCATAGGCCTTGAGAAATTCTTGAATCTAGAAATTCCCTGGAAAAGGAATTCATCGCCCTCTATCCAAAAGTTGCAGGTGAAGAATCGATGGATTCACATTATGTTTAGGGGGAGGCAGATGCCACAATATGATTCCTAGTGGCATTTAATTCACATGTGATATATTATTGGCTTTGACTGCAGAGTGGAAGGATTCATTAAAGGAAACAAAAATTCTTTGGCTTAATATATTATAGGTTATTTTCTTTTTTCCTTTATACCCGTATTAAATTTTAACTTAAAAAGTAATCAAAGTAAGATAAATGGAAATTTGTCACACTAATCATTTTAAACTTTTAAGTTTTAAAATCAGAGACTGGGATTGCAATCCAACCAAAAGGCAGACTTAATTACTCTTTCCTATTCCCTAGCAGCTCTAGTTGTTTGCTTTATTCTAGATAAATGCACTTAAGTGAATGTTGTACTAGCTCTGCTCAGCACTAGGAAATGTAACATCATGCTCTCCTAATGTATATTCCACTTGGATTCTTCCCATAAAATTGTCTGAGTCAAAGGTACTGATATTCTCCTCAGCCATTCTAAAAATTCATACCAAAGTATTGCAGTTGGAGCACATGTCTCTGATGCAAAAACCAGATACTTGCTGGTGAACATCCATCCCTTCAGAATATTCAGATATTCTGGACAGAGCTCAGGCCCTAGCCTCACCCTTATGGCAGGCTTTGGCAAACTAAGGCTGGGCCTCCTGTTTTTGTAAATAAAGTTTTATTTGAATGTAGCCATGTCCATTTGTTTACATGCCTCATGACCGAATGAGCTGCAAATCTGAGAACACTTGCCGTCCTTAAGAAACGTTTACTGATCCTCCCTCTAGAGAGAGCAAAGAACGTCCAATTACGGTGCCTCAACCAAACAGGTTTGGGTGAGTTCTAATCTCTTCCATAAGCAAGGTTTTCAACTCTCCCTATCCCAGAGCCCAGCATTCTACAATAGATTTATTCTAACAAGGTCAAGTCCTTTCAAGAATGAAAAATCACATGTTTTTTTGTTCTGAAAGAGTTTTTGTCAACTAAAGCAATCTTCTCCCAGCTGAGCACTCATATGGAAGCGTGGTTGATAATGTTTGTAACTAAAGTGTTAAATGAGGACAGATAGGCCTAACGATTTGTATTCAGAATGACAATTGTGAACTCAAGAAACTCAGTCTCCCTGGATTTTCCTTCTGGGAAGCCTTGGAAATGATACGTGTATCCATTCTCTGCCTCACAGTCAATGCTTTTGATGCCAAGTCCCTTAACTGCTTTTTTTAATGTAAATATTCATTAATTAAACAATTAAAAGTGTGCAATTGGCCGTGTCCGTCTACTTGAAAAGGAGATTCCTCATTCTGCGCATGGGGTTTTTACAGCCAGCGCACTGTAGGTCTGAGCTCGAGACAGTAACCTGTGCCTTTGGAGCAGATGTCAGAGCCCCAGCATCCCCTGCTGCCCCCAGTCTTCTCACAAACTTCATGCACACATCTCAGCGGCACCCAGAGAGAGAAAGAGACAGAATTCCCCTTTTGCCCCCTCCTCCACCAGTCACTACCTATTCCCTGAAAGGCAATCACTTTCCCCAGGTCTTGAAACAGATTAGTTTTGCCTATTTTTGTACCCCACTGGCTTTTTCAACAAGGACACCCTGAGCCTTTATCTCAACTAGGCATCTCTGAAGCTTTCTTTGTCTTCCAGGTGGCTGCTTACGTTTGTAGAATCATTGGTGGGCTCTCCATTTCACTTCTTCAAGATCTGGCTTGTTCTTATTCTACTCAATGCTCAGGTGATCCGTCACCTCCCATGGCTTCACTGCCATCCCTGTGCTCACCTGCAGCCCAGGTCTCTCTCCTAAGCTCCAGACACATTAGATGTCTGAGCAATAGATATCTCTACTTGCTTTTCCCACCATGCACCTCAAAGTCAACAGTACGTCCTGTCCAAAATGGCAGCCATCACCAGCACTCTCAAGTGCTCCCCCAGTGCTCCTTCTGTTGTTCCCCCTATTAGAGAACAGCCCCACTATCCACCAAATGTTATCCAAATTGGAGAAATAATCATCATCCTCCATTCCTCCCTTTCTCTCACCTCCCCCACTTCCAATCAGCCACCGAGTCTGCTAGTTCCACAACTAAATGTCTCCCAGGTCCTGTCACTTATTTCTCCTCCTAATGCTACTTCCTACTTGACCTTGTTCACCATCACCTCATCTGGATCAACTAGTCTCACTGTCAGGTCTGGTCCCTCCCAAATCCATTCACTACAGTTAGAGATAATTTTTAAGCGCAGATCTGATCATGTCTCTTCTAGCTTAAATCCCTTTAA